TTCCTGTTCCATTGTTGATAGTCTTTAGTGGCCCGCGTGTATCTTACTCCAGTTCAATCGTACGATGCTTGTTATTGATATATACATCACAGCTACTCTCGTAAATAACTATTAACTTAAATCGCATCGGTGAATAACTGATTTAAATAAATCAAATACGAAAATGAAGTTTGAATACATACATTTCGTACACTCATTGATCTGAACAGACAATCAGGGAAACGAAGTGGAGGGGAGAGAGCGAAGTGAAACAAAATGATGAACAGTGGAGGTGAGTGAGACAACACAATTTATTCAAGTGTCGCTCAATATTTATAAACAGACCAAAAATAAATTACAGACTCGTAGTGAATAGGGCAAGCTGTGGAGATAGGCTTGATAAGCTTATTTTGTAGATAGTTTTTGATGTTATTTGCATTTATTCTGTCAATTTTCTACTGCATGTACATTTATCATTAAATGATTGTACGTGTTGTTTAAGTGTATGACCTTGGACACACTTTCTTCCGTCGTGTTACATTCATAGCATGACACACTCTGTTAACTGCTAAAAATATACTGCTATACACACACACCTCTTGTTCTCCATTCGCTCCTGATTGTGTAAACTGAACTCTAAATCAAATACTGTCCACATTTATAGACTATAATCGGAATATATCATATTCTACATATGGTTGTACTGCTGGGAGGACATCAACCTTACTGGAATCTTCAATCATCTATAATTGTGGATTTTGGTACCAGGCTCAATCAGAACACGCACAAACCTGCTGAATTAAGTAACGTCTCTAATTTTTGTTGTCTTTATAACATTTAACTGATATATGTTAACATTACTATATGTACTTAATAACTCGGTTATCATTTTTGAGTTCATATATTGTTTGGTACATCACAAAGCAATTAAATCACATACGATCACACAAAAGCAGTCAGTGTTAATAAGCGAATGTTTGACAAGGCCCGAATGTGGCTTGATAAGGACTAATAGATTGTTCTGTTCAGAAACTTGAATAGCGGCAGTATATTTATATGCGGCAATCAACGGGTCATGCTATGTGCGTTCACCGGAAAGGAAGATCAAAGATCATGTTTTAGACAACAGTTTTGTAGTCAGTAACGGCAATTGTACAAGTTATTAGAATTAATTTAAAAAATGCAAATAATATTAAAAACCAATTACAAATAATTCTATTCTATCGTGTCCTACAACTATTTGACTGTATTCTAAGTTTTTTATATCATTGTGTTAAAAACATAAAATTGCCTTTTGTTTATATGCTTAAGAGCGCTCTTTAAAATGACAGTGGTATTTTACATTGCTAAGCTAATTCTATCACTTTAATCGTTTGTCACGAATTAAGACTGAATTTATTTCAGTTAAAGCAATCAAGAGTACAGTTTATTATGAAAGTAATTTATCATCTGTACCTTTGAGTACATTGGTTCTTTTTGTATATCTTTGCACTTCGGGTTCTAACAATTTACAGTTTCTCACTTTTTTCTGGTCATCAGTTCCTTTTGTCTCTTGGTAGTGTTTGCGTCTAGTTTCTTTACGAAAACCTCTGATTCAGTCAGTAAGTCAGCTGTAACGTAGCACCAGACACATATATGCATCGGTCCAAGTTACCACACCTCATTAGTATAACATGATGAATGACAAATTCATAGTAGTTACTACAATGGTATTGATGTATAAAAGGAAGACTGTGTATAAGGGTATAGTACATGAAGAAAGAATTAGTTCGTTGAAAGAAAGATATAAAGCGACTTTAATCTCACGGTTTAAGGGAAGACAAAGAGTGTATACACCGATGCCATTGTGATCGATTCTGAGTCATGTCACCAAGAGTCTCCAACCATTGGTTACGATAGTCACGCGGACCCCAACCAAGTAGTCCGCATCTACCAATATGGCTTAGACCAGAATTTAGTGACTTCAAGCACTTATGACACGTTTTGGTTTGGCCGCCCCTAACTTTCTTACAACCATCTCCAATACCGGATAGCATTGCACGTCGTGGTAATCGGTGTTCAGGCATACGTAACACGTGGCCCAACCATCTCAGTCGATGAAGATTCACAACCTCAGCAATTGATTTACCATCATTTCCTAATACCCTACGTCTAACCTCACTATTACTTACCCGGTAATCCCAGCAATATTTCTAAGGCATCTGTGGTCAAATACTAGTAGCTTACGAGTGCCTTCTACTCTTAATGGCCATGTTTCGCTGCCGTAAAGTAAAACAGAACGGACTGCCGCGCAGTATACTCGTCCTTTTATTGATAGACGGATATCTCGCCTTCGCCATAGGTGACGTAAATTGGAAAAAGCCAAAAGAGCCTTCTGAATCCATGCTGAGATTTCGTCAGATACCAACCAATTTGTGCTGACCACACTTCAAGATAAATGAAGTTATCGACGCGTCCGGCTACGTCACTCCCTATTCTTAGTTCAGGTGTTGGCGCAGGCCTGTCCTGGAGATACAACTTGCGTATTCACGAAACAGGGCTATACCATCCGCGAATTGTACGTCGATAAGTGGACCTCCTGGAAGGAGATCAATTCCCGAAAATTCAGTCGATGAGAACGTTACCTCCAGCAGTCGATGATGAAGTTGGAAAAAAATAGAGATAGTGGACAGCCTTGCCGGAAACCATTTGAATTCGCCATAAGCTCTCACTCGACTAGTAGTGTTCCAGTAAAGAACCTTCACAAGGTTTATGTACTTCTGAGGTACACCTTTCAATGACAGACACTGCCACAGAATCTCGCGGTCCACGGAGTCAAATGCTGCTTCAGGTCAAGAAAGACCACCATTGTCGGACGCCGATAAGCATGTCTGTGTTCTAGAACCTGACGAATGGTGAGTACATGGTCAGTCCAGCCACGACTAGGTCTGAAGCCAGTTTGACTCTCGTGTTTGTAGCTCACGAGTCTTAGTTGGGCGCCCGATAATCATTGAGGCTAGCATTTTAGATACCATATTAGTCAAAATAACCCCTCTATGGTTGTCACAGGATGATTTTGACCTTCTCTTATATATTGGGACAATTAGTGATTGTGACCAATTAGATGAGATTACGTCCAACTCCCGGAATTTAGCTAAAATATTAGTTAAGCTAGTCGCTAAATCTAAACCACCATCCTTAAAGACATCTGGAGCCAATCCATTATGAACCAGCTTCTCTTACTCGTTTCAGATTAGCTATAGCATTGAAAATGGCACAGGTATTTGGAGCTTGACAACGCTTTAACCAGTAACACTTTCTAATTTGAATCGTATCCATCAAGTGAAATCAAAAGACAGGAGCGAGGAGGTTCGAAGATATATTTGATATGCTATCAATATATCGAGGATTGATTGATCTAGACTGGCTAGCGATTGCATGGGATGTTGAGCACGGCGTTCCCACTCGTGATCTGGTACGGACAAATGACCGGGCGTCTTCAGCTGAGTTCATTAAAACTAATATGGTCGGCATCCAATATCGAAGACATAAAGAGCTATTTATTTTGGAGATTTATTCACCTCTACAGCCTGTTGAACTTCAGCTAGATTCAAGGGACCTACCTCAATGTTCCATTCACACTGTCTGGGAATAGTGGGTAGTTGTAGAGTAGCTGAAGGCCACATGAACTGCTCCTTAAATTTTTCCACTCATCGTTTTAAACGTTTGGGCTGAGAGCAGATAAGTGTCTTCTTCCGAGATCGTTTCACTTACACGTAACTTCTTATTTCCAGTTTCTTTTTTAGTCTGAAAAGCTGACTTCTGTTGCCTACGGCCGCCACCTTTCCCATCTCTTTTGCATTTGTTGCCCGCCACTGCTCACGATCGTTCCTTGGACTGGACAATGCAAAAAAACGATTGCCAACACCTAGGTTGTCAATGTCCTGTGGAAAGTGGCATACAATGCTATGGGATCATGAAGCTTGCATGAATCTAACGTCTGAGGCTTTCTAATGGTTTAGTAAAAATACTTGCGTGTGGTTGTGTCAGCAAAGCTACTCGTATCCAAACAGCTTGCTATCCCAGGTCATTGCAATGAAGAATGCTGCCAAAGGGAGTAAAAGCAAGCATGATCGAGACACATTAAATGTCTCTCGCTCGGTCGATACACAAATTGATGTGAAGTTACTTGAAATAAGCTCAGTGTCGATCGATTTACATGGGCCTACGGTCATCGAAATTATCCAAGTTCCTACAGTATGTGTAAAGCGACTATGATTGATACTCCAATCAAAGTCGATGAATGGGGACAGATCAAGAATAAGGAGAGACCTAATGTTGTTAAGGAAAAGTCAGTCCCCTGAACAGCAGCTGATATATTGATAAATGATCATCGTGACAGGTCAGTTGTCTTTCATAGAGTCAAGGAGACTGCGAGTTCAGAACCCAGAACTTGTTTTGAGCATGACATTGAGTTGATGAAAGAGCTATCAAACCAGCTAATGCCTTTGGATATTTCTGGAGTCACCTTGCTAAAGGTTTATAGACCAGGTAGCCAAATGAACTTGAAACAGAATCAAACCAGGCTGTCAAAAGTAGTATTTAACTCTCACAGTCAACGGGATTTAATACCACAGAATGGACATAAAATAAAGGGGTAGGTAGTTTATTTCCGAAAACAGTTACCGCTAGTGGAGAGTAAAAAATATCAAGAGGCTGAAAAAGAACTAAAACCAAAGTTAGAAGCTGGCGAGAAGTACCTTAAAATCGTAAATTTTCGGCTGGAGAGTTTCTGACAGATAATTATCCCAGGGCAATTATGGGTGTATTGTAAGGCCTAACCTAAAGCCTTTTTCGATTCCTAGATTCACGTCCCAAGGAAAGTCTGCATATAAGCCTCTATGATTATCACATTTCACTCACCAAATCCATTACAGCACATATCTCAAACACTCATTAGCTTATATACACGAATTACCATACCTCGGTAGCACGTGGAATTAGAAACCATACCATAAGTGACAAAGAACGAAGCAAGTAGTATATGATAGATTATTAATAATTAAGAGATAGAAAAAAGATAACAATTGCTAGTGGGTTAACTTGAGATTTACAATGGGGAGAACATAAAAATACAGTGATACAAATATCTACTAACTAAACAAACAAAACACAAATGATAATAAACTGCAAAATAGTTACAGAAGTTTTACCATTGCCAGTAAACGTCACACTGTACCAGTATGTTTATTTCATACTTTGATTCTGAGAAAATTCCAGAATTTTGTTATTCTTTCTGATGTCTTACGATCAATGTCTCTCATGCGGATCTAACAGAGGAGATCTTGCAAATCAATGAAGAACATACTACTGCGAATTGACAATTCTAACTAGGAGGATAGAAATAAATAACTCGCTTGTTCAGAGGTAATATTGATTTGTAGTTTTATCACTCGATTTCAATCATTCACGATTTAGTTAATAGTGACTGTTGTGTGAGAATATGACCTCATAATTGATTCTATAACTTAAATAGATAAACCAAAGTACATATTAATATGAACTGAACTAATTAGTACTTTGTATGATTCTCATTTATTTGAAATATCTAATTTACTTTTACTGGAGCAATAAAGATTTCAGTTTTTCTGCTTGGTGATATTAACTAATTCAGATTGTGTTGATTATTACTTTTCAGTTACTGTTTCATTCGGAAAGTATGCATTCCTTCACTTAACAAACCATTTCCCGTGATACAGTGCATAGTCAAGGGCTTAGATATTATTACTGGATGTATTCTCCCACTCTAAATCTCAACCCCCAGATTTTCCAGCTTGTAAACAAGCGGTAGGGTGTCACTGCAATAAAACTGATGTCATTTCGTGATTATCTCACACTTAATTCGTAATTTTGACAAAACTTTTCCTTAACTCCTGATATCTAACCCTAACTGTTTTCATCATAGTTTATATTGATTGGCGACGAAAACAACCCTAACTCACAACGCTAACCCAACTTCTGATAAGTAAACTTAAGACTTTTCGTTTGCGTTAAAAAAATAATTCAACACGCGGCAGATTACTTATCATATTAAAATCACTATTGCACTTTAACTCCGTTGCTTTCCAACTAGGCACTGTTTTCTGATTGAGTGACCAATCACTTAAGGTCATCGGTATGGCATATTTTTAATCATCATTTTAACTTCAAAACTCAAATTAACTAGTTTTCGTCTACCTACAGCACTTCACCGACACTCAAGTTGTTATGCCATATGGCCCGTCAAACAATACGTCACAAAACCACCAATCAGAATGCCGACTTCTACAACTTTGTCTCTGTGCCAAACCAATAACACGTCAGCCAGCACGAGCAGCCTTAAATCAACTCTGGAACTCTATTGTTCCTCTTCACAGTCGCTACTCGCCTACTCCGGCCCGTTCAGTCCAAACACAAATAAGTCTCCGCCATATGAATCGTATATTTCAGATATACGTGGTTTATACACAAATAGACCAGACCGCATAACACCATAAAATGAAAAATAATTACTATGCGAGATCAAGCCAAAAGTGGTTATGAGTATAGGTGGTTGTAACTAATAGATTGTGAATAAATTAATAATGGTAAGCCGCATAACAGTAGCCAATAGGAATACTTATAGCAGTTGTAATATATTTATTCATCGTTCCGACGTAATATAAGTGTGTTTTGATCTAACTTGTCAAGCCTTTCAATCAACTTGTTAAACAGTCATTCAAACAGTGACAATGTGTACATCTTTGTATCATGATCATCATGTCTGTATGAACATGTATGTTTGATCACGTGTTACAGCCTACACATATATCCCTCTTACTAGCTTAAATCACTCGATTAATCATTTGCTTTTCTATGTATATTTACTTGCATCTCACCAATTTATTCAACTCCTAATTCGCCTCTGTATTTTCTCTCTCACATTAGTATATCTGCTAGGATTCGCTGTGAGCTTGTGGCTCAGTGATCTGCGCTGTTCAGTAACAAACTGTAGTCGACACCTCGCATTGTCATCCAAAATTGATACACCGTCGGGATTTATTTAATAATGAAAATCAGGACTTTTGATACACGAAGCCTTAGGAGTTATCTCTAAGACAATCCATTACATACTCATATAAGCATCAAACTTTCTCTGGATAAAGTAGTTTGATTTTTGTGTGATCATTCTTGGATAAACAATTGCCACAACGGAGCGAATGTCAAGCAAAGTTAAACTTTCGAAACTGTTTTATCTGAAGTTATTGCTTATATGGAGAGGAACACTACCTTCTACAAGTGGATAACACGACAATTATTTTCCCAGTTAGCATCTAGTCGTACTGTAAACAAATAATGGGTAGTTATGCATAGCCATACTCATATATAAGTAATAACAACAGCGTATCATCACAAACACATAAACAGTGAGTAGAGATTATTTTGTGAACCATGCTTACAATGAACATCATACTTTTCTTTAGGTTGATATAAAAATCTTAACATTGTTGAAGATTAAATACAACAGATATCAACCTTCAAATCTTTCCGAGTTATGTTAAAAACTTTTGATTGGCGAGGGATTAATGGATATCATATGAGACACTTCATAAGACATTAACAAGGGCGGAAACTCGATAACTGACCTAGCGCCTGACAACCAAAAACTCTAAATCACTAGGATAAGGGTTCATTGGAATATGTTGGAAAACTTGGGATACTTGGTAAATTCACAGGTACTCAGATAATGTTTTACAGACACGATCAATTAAGAAACTCGATTTATACTACAAATCCAAACATCAATATGGTTACAAACAACAATATCACAAAGCAACTGTAGATCAGTTTTCAATTTTAGTTGGATGTTTTGAACCGTAATAACTAAGTATACTACTGAGCATGAGTAACAGACAATGTACATTCATGTATATATGATACATAAGTTACTGCATAACCAAATCAAACTTGAAAGTAAAACCAAGGCAACGAACTATGTAGGAACCCCACTAATCTCATCCCGTTCAACAAATATTCTTAAAATCAATCTTCGTGAAAAACTGAAACATTCATACTACTCTCCATTGTAGAGTAACGAAAGTTCGTTTGATAAATGCTGCTCGAAATCACCTAGTGACATAATATAATGAAGAACGGTGAGTGAACATTTCATCAAATAAAATAAAACTTGTGCAGAAATCTATTTCAATTCAGAATAAACTATTACAAGTCACCTGTTCATAACAATTCGCCATCGTCATATATTTCATTGGAGGCGGACTCAAACATAAACCACCCACTCTCAGCTTCAACTCAAAGTAAAACACCAGTTGTCTCACTAAACAGTTTGCACACAGTAAACATTTTCAACATTCATTAATTGAAAACACGTTAGAATCATATGAACAGACCAAAATGAAATACATGCACAAAACAAACATTCCAGTAAATTAAATGAAACCGAAGAAGCTATGTCCTGAATAACAACACATGGTACAGCCAAACATCACAGAATAGCAACAACGATAACAATATTAATAATAATAACGATAATAATAATAAGGTGGACATCGCTTCTATTCGTAAACAGATTATACTAAGAAACAGAATGATTCACATCTGAAATCTAATAAAACAAGTGGGTAATATAACGTACGTTGATAAGAAAGTTCAGCAATAACATTCTGCTAATACACCTGTGCAGAATAAAATTTATGTGGAGATCATTTGGACCATTTAACCACTCTTCTTTCATATACGAACTGATTGATAGGTTTGTTTGATCCTAAAGGTAGTGTGGCCAAATAAAACGGTGTGTCAGCACCTAAAGGAGTAAAACAGATTTAGTCCGCAGCATTGCGATAAATCCTGCCTTGTCCCCTGCTTACCAAGAACAACGACCGGCTATATATATATACAAGGATATAGACTCACCTTCATCCGTTGTCTTCACACCTTTATGGTCAGTCATATCAGTGTCAACAAAACCAGGACAACACTGTCGAAATGATGAAAACGCGAAGATAAAGTATAAGAATCTAACTGAACAAAACTATCAAATGTTATGTTAAAATTAAAACCATTCACTTCCAAGCAATCACAAACTCTCAAATAATCACTTTAACAATACCACTCACGAAATTAATTACTCTTAGCCTTCGACAAACGAGACAATTACATTTCCTAGGCAGTCGCTTAGTGACAACGTAGAACTTCGTACGTACGTACATCAGTTCGAGTTGCCACACCACATTAGCACAGAGATGCAGTTGTCGATTCAAATTCCGTAGTGGTAGAGGTAGAAAGAGTATAAGCAGTAATCAAAAAGATTAGGGTATGGAGATGTTATTTAAAGAGTATAATCCAGTGAAGTAAAGTTGGAAAGAGAAAAAAAGAGACAAGGAGGAATCAGGAGATTAGAATTTGGAAGAACACAAAGAGTGTATGCACCTGCGCCATTGCAAACGACTTTGAGCCATGTCATTCAGGGTCTCTAACCATCGGTTGCTATCATCTCGCGGTCCCCAACCTAGTAGTCTACACCTACCGATATATGACTCAGTCTACTTGTCAGTGACTTCATGGACTTGTGCCATGTTTTGGTCTGGCCGAACCTAGCTTTCTTCCAATCTACTCCTATACAACAAAACATCGCACATCGAGGCAGTCGGTGGTTGAGCATACGTAACACGTGTCCCAGCCATCTCAACTGATGAAGTTTCACTACGGCAGCCCTGACGAACACCACTTGAGGTAATCAATTCTGATGACAGTTCGCCATAAGCTCTCACTCGACCAGCTGTGCTCGAGTAGAGAGCCTTTATAAGGTTAATGTACTTCTTTGATACTCCTTTCAGTGACAAACACTGCCATAAAACCTTACGATCAACAGAGTCGAATGCTGCCTTAAGGTCGAGAAATACTACCATTGTGGGGCATCTGAATGTGTGTTATAGAACCTGACGTATTGTGAATATCTGATCTATACAACCACGTCCAGGTCGAAAACCAGCCTGATTTTCTCCAGTCTGTTCTTCACGAGCTTTAGCTAAGCGTCGAAGTATTATTGAAGCTAATATTTTAGACACTATATTTGTCAAACTGATTCCTCTGTGATTGTCACAAGAGGACTTTTGTCCTTTCTTATAGACTGGCACAATCAGTGATTGAGACCAATAAGATGGGATTACGTCCAGTTCCCAAATTCTACCTAAGACCTCAGTTAATCTCACTGCTAATACTGAACCACCATCCTTAAGAATCTCAGGAGTAAACCTGTCAGGTCCTGCTGCTCTTCCTCGCTTCAGATTTCCTGTGGCTTTTCCAACTTCGTAAACAGTTGGACGACCTACATTAACTTGCCATTCAGGTTGACTGGAGATCGTGGGAAACCGAAGTGTGGCTGAAGGGCCATCGACCCAATCTCCTGGATCGAGAACTTATATATCCATCTTTCTCTGAGTGTTTCGCTAACAGTCGGTTTCCTAATACCGGTTTCCTTAACAAGTCTGAACAATTATCTGCTATTACCTATTGCCGCTGCCTTTTCCATCATTCTTGCTTTCGCTACCCACCACTGTTCACGATCATTGCGTAGACTTCTTGTCAGCTTGCGCTTAAGTCGACTCCGCTTTTCATTATGCTCAGAGCCAGGTGGAATGAGTTTCCGAGCATCTATCAGTGCGATAGATGCTGCTGAGATCCAGCGACAGTCTTCTATCGAGCCCCTCCATCGGTGGCTGATAGCGATGTGATCTATTTGGGTCGAACGTCGGGACGAATTAGGGGGTCGCCATTTTCAAAGATGTTTTTCCTTATGCTTAAGGTTAGTATTTTCAAGAAACTGGCGGCTATCTGAGCATAGCTGCAACAGACGGTCGCCATTATCTGTTCTTTGAGCCACGATGCTATAAGATCCACCTAGGTGTCTTTCCCTATCGCTTAGTTTACCTACTTGAGCATTAAAGTCACCAGCCACTATTACTACATCAGAGCGCCCAGTTTTTCGGAGAAGGTTGGAGAGCTTTCTGTAAAACTCATCTTTTACATCATCTGCGCTGCAGTCAGTGGGAGAATAGGCAGAGATGACGAAGAGGCAACGACGAGTGTCCCTATCTTTCCGAGTCTTTACTGTTCCGTTTAGTGGTGAGGAGGGTTAGTCATGGAGATAAGAGTGGTATTCGGAGGTGTAGGAGGGATTTGAATGTGACCAACTTGGTCTCGTGTGCTGTTACGGGTATGAGGGCTGATATCACTTCCCGGCTGACCACACCGTGGAAGAGTATTTCTTGAGGAACCTGAAAAGGAAATAGGATTAGTGTTGGTCTTAACGACCTGGGAGCGTGACCGCAGAGCCCAAAGGACAACTGCCTGAGGCCGGTCGTGCACGGCCTTTTCGTGGAAGGCTTTTAATGTGTTAGCCCTGTTCTTCAAAGGGCCTTACCGCCGGAGACGGGAATCCGTGAGGTGTGACATTTTGAGGGTCGACCTTTTCTAACCCCACCCCTCCTTGTGGGAAGGCAGCATCGCTGTAGTTGCTGGTTGTCTGAGGGAAACACCTTACTACTGTCACACCCCTCTACAGTCAGCGGTACGACTTCGCCCTCAAACCCTGAGTTGCTGCTTTTAGTCTTACCGTTCTCCAATCGATCTGCCTGGCATGGTAGAACCTACAGGAACATACGTTCCAGCCAATGTAGCTCGGTTGGGTTATCACGATAGGCAAGCCCGACCACCGCGTCAAGGTAGCAGCCACGGTCGGAACATTTCCTAGGCACCGACCTAACTATTATAACAAATACAAACCAAATAAGAACTTTCGTCTAAATTTGATGGAATAGCTTCACAGTATTTAGTTAATGTGAGACATTAAAGAGGAAGAATGCATTTGTGAAATCTCAGCGGAAGAATTCCAAGTAAATCCATGGGACAGCTAGTTGTATTTCATCTCTCTTATTAATACCGTTTGGATTAGCCCATATGTGTAGGGCTTCAGCTGTTAGTCTCTCTTTGCAAGAATTACCTTTTCGAAGGATACTTGTGCCATTGAAATCAAATGTATGACTCGATTCTATAGAGTGTAGTGCTATCGCTGATTTGTTCTCGAGTTTCCTTACCCTAACTGAAGATTTAGGAATGTGATTTAAGCATAGTTTGTGTTCCTTCACCCTCACATTCAGTTGCCTTGATGTTCCACCTATATATGTGGCATTACAGTAACTATATTTGATTTCATAAACACAATTCTGTTGTTCTTCCTTGTGTATTGAATCTTTGATTCTTAATAGTTTTGATCTTAGAGTATTGTTTGTTCGAAAGAATGTTCTTATATTTTGAAAAGTTAGAATCCTTCTGATCTCTTCTGAAATATCTTTACGATATGGGATCACAACTGTATTAATCCATTCTTTCTGCTTAACTCTTTTTTAGTATCGTTTTGTTCTTCATTTTTAGTTATTCTTTTAATAAAATCCTTCGGATAACCATTCATCATTGAAGTGGATATAATTAAATTCATTTCCACTTCTATATCATTTGGTTCAGTGACAAGATTTTTAACTCTGGTGATCAAATTTCTGGCTACTGTTACTTTGGTAGAGTGTGGATAATAAAGCAGTATGATGAGTGACAGTGGTCTTGAGTGCTGTTAGAGGTACCACCATCGAATTAACTATTTCTATTAATCCGGTATTCATCTTGCTGTGCTAATGTGGTATGGCAACTTGGACCGATGCATATATGTGCATGGTCCCACGTTGTAGCTGATTGACGGACTGTAATGAGTGACATTCTTGATATGGCTTCATATAGTATAGAACACTATTTCAACAATCCTTGTCTGTCGTAGTGGTCAGAATCACGTTTAAATTTGGAAACTGATGACAAGAACCATGGATTATCTACTCAACATCAACTATTGTAAACACTACTCATATTTACTTTGTATAAATATATATAAGGACTAGTATGATGTGCACAGAAATAAACACGAATCATCACAATATTGACAAAACAAACTAACCGAATTTACCACAACCCCTCTTGGATCATCTTTCAGCATATCACCGAAAATAAACGAAGCCTTTGTAAGACCCATTTTGGATACTCCATAGGCATTTGAAGGCCAACCTTTCTCAGAATAAGTGCCATCCTCAGCAGATCTAATGATATATTTCACAAGAAAATAGCTGCTCAATAAATAAAGTAGAAAGCAAATACTATTTTAATAGTCTCGTCTATACAGTGATGTTTCGGAATAGTGGTGCCAATCATTTGCAAGTGTAAATATATTTAAGAATTAGAATAATGAAGATGGCTGCTTCTAAGTACAGATCAAAAGCTACATACATAGACTGCCGTAAACAGAAGTTTACACTTTTTAGTCCGTGAAGTGGTGATATAGTTAAGAAATGCTCGGTTTTTGAACTCTGTATTACGGATCCAAATCAAGCTTCGATCATTTCCGACTATTTAGCCGAGTAATATCACAAAAATGTGTAGTTTGAAGTAAAGCACATATATCTATATCCAATAGAAAAAAGCAAACATGAAAAGATCTCCCATTTACAAAGTAAGCCTATGCGACTGGTGGACAGCTGCACTTACCTACACTTTGCAACTCTTTGGGAAAATCATGCCCCAGGTTCTTACAGAGCTAAAATACAAAATACAGGTTTTCCATCAATCCACATATATTAAGTGAACCTGGCTTTATCCAAACGATTGAGTTCTTTCGAAAATATACATTAAATGAAATGAGGCTTAGATAATTTGACACTGGAATACAATGAATCTTATATCCTCAAAGTTCATCGATTGAAATCCTGTGGTATTTCGTAGTATGTTAAAAAATATATACACCTTACAGACCAATTTTTCGAATGAGCCGAGTAGAGTACTACGCGGAAACACTAGTCGCCTAGAGTAACCTACATTCTGCCTGAACATTTAAGCAGCAAGTAGTTAGAATCACCCTACAGTCTATTCACAACATATTTTGTTGATTCTACTATCTATGTATATATTCTAGGACAACAAAGACCATCTAGCTTGGCGATATTAGTCATTAAAGGGGAGTACCTTACAGCAGGTAGACCTTATTATATTTAACAGCATAATTTAATTCTAAAAACTGATGCGTTAACCATTGCTAAAAGTACATCTGTGGTGTGGTAAGGACTTGAGAATGAATTATCTAAAGCAATATAATTCGATTATTTAGGTAAACTATGTTGATAAATGACCAGCTTGACCATTAGTCCAAGAAACTCGAGCCGACTGGAAACACTGGATGCAGCCTGGATAGACCTGTGTTAACATCACTGATTGTGAAGGTAGGAAGCGGGCGAATGAGTCCGCCAAGGAGCATCAGTCGCCCCTTCGATTACAGGCACGCCATGTTGATCATTCCCACGTAGCAAGAAACCTAGGTCCAGGGTTTCCTGTCGACCACGTCCAAATACCACCTTACACCTCAATATAGTTCAAGCAATGTAGATTTGTCTAGACTAGTAAGTAAACTGTGACTTGACCAATAAAATTTGATCAGCAGAAAGAAGGATTTAACATATTTGGGACCAGTCACTACTCACCCAATCTCCCAATTTCGGGGAAATTTGATTCATTTTTGGGAAGCGGCTACAGAAAATTTTGAGGAAATGGCACTTAAACCCTAAAAGTTTCCCAGATCTGAGGAAAATCCATGATACTTTCCATAAACCCTGGAGAATTCCCCAAACTTGGGGGGTTGGGCAGTGTTGAATTAACTGAAACATACTTTTTGAAATCATACGTTACATGCAGTGTAGCAAAAAAACAGTTGCATTACTGAACTGGAATGTTTAATTTGAGATGTATTTCAGTAAAGATATACCTTACAAACTCCACCATAAGTTTTTTCAACTCCGAAAGGTTCATAGGGCCGACAAATTTTTCGTAAAGATCACTACTGAGTTTCTTTAACATGAACAGAGAGAGAGTAGCAGAGATATTAACGACTCTTAAGAGTATGAACTGGTCCTAATAGAGTACCTGGCATTTTCAGCTAGTAAAGGAATGAACTCTTCCGTGAAATCGACAGTTGAAGTAAAGTTGGTGTTCACCAAACTACGTGCTTGATTGCCAAATGGAACCAAACAGTTAGCCTACGGAAATATATTAAAGTAATAAAACGACTTTGTGGGCGATTCCAGCATTATTAACTGCAACGTTGATTCCATTGGGATAGTTTCTCTCTACAAATGTTAGGAACGCTTTTCGACTATCTCGATCCGTTATATCTAGCTGATGGAATTTAACATCCAGGCCCTTGTTATTGAGCTTTTTCACAGCTTCCTGACCAAGTCCAATATTACGAGCTGCTAAGTTATTAGTTGATATACGGTCACCTGTTAGAAACACATCCCATTCTCCTGTAGGGCGGTATAATTTCAAAAGTTTTTCAATGATACTAAACCCGATACCTTTATTTGACCCAGTTACCTAAATTAATTAAATATAACCTCCTTAGTGTTATAAAACTCATCAAACAAATGCCAGTTTCATGTCGATAAGATACGGCCAACCAACCGGCGACTGCTCAAATGGCCTTCAGTTACATTTTGGGAAGGACAAGAAACTGGGTGGGTATGCGTTACAATTAACTACTGGTGTTTCCGCGGCATTTAGGTGTTATCGTGGTATTTCTTAAAATCGTTAGAAATAGACAGTTATTAAGGGTTACTTACCAGGAGTTCATTTTCCATAAACACTTCTCAGTACTTAATGGTGGAATGATCATTCCATCATTTAATACGGTCGACCGTATTATCATTGAGATGATTTCTTGATGGATAACAACTGGGATTTTGTATTCATGCGGAACGTTCTTGTTTTTGAAGTCTCTAACCTAATTTGTCATCGATATACGATATGAAACACGACTTCACCGTCGAGCTAATACTTATAATAGTGACAAAATTGATGGACGACATGGAGTCTTAAATGAATATAATTGTGCTTCTGCTATCCACAGTCACAGAAAACCTACATTACTACCAGAATCGCTTATGCCATGAAGTAAATTCTTGATAGTCGAAGCTGAGTCGTATGTGAGTAACTTTTGGCTTCATTCAGACGCATATGTGTTTAAACGAATTCCAGATTTCATGTGACCTAAAAGTGCATTATATACCCAGAATTTAAGTTTGTCAGTACGTAAACTGGTAATGAGGACAAATTCAAGGCTACGTTCGCAGAGTATCGGGCAGATCATCAGTCCCTATCAAGGCCAAGGACGACCAACTCTCATCAGTCAGTCGTACGCCATGAATTGGCCCTTGAGATGTTGGCCACACTTCAGCTTGTACCTATTCTAATATATTTCTGTACTAACGCCCTTTGTGTTATACGGTCTTCAAAGCAGCAATAGTACCTTGATACGATGGAGGAGTAAACCACGTTAAGCGCTGGCTGCGAGGTGTGACTTCGAAGTTAGCTGCTGGTCTCAGCATTCCCGTCTAACTCAAGTAAGCCCTCGATCATTCGATATAGATCATCTACGTTAATGACCTACAATCGACCCAAATCGAGCTAGAGAATAACGGAATAAAATGATTCAAACACGAGAATGAAGTTTGAATACATACATTTCGTACACTCATTGATCTGAACAGACAATCAGGGAAACGAAGTGGAGGAAGTAAAAGGGAGAGAGCGTAGTGAAACAAAGTGATGAGAAGTGGAGGTGAGTGAGCCAAATCAATTAAATCAGGCGTGACTATGGTGTTTGTATGAGCTCTAGATTCTTTTGTACTTAATTGTCCGCTTGATTTCTAATTCTAAATACAATACGTTCGTTCGTGCTTACCTAGCTCTATTCGGCTGAAATTCCAATTTCAAGGATCCCTGTTCGCATAATAATTCAACTATGTTTAAATATGTCAGTGACTTGATATTTATGGTCAGAATAAAAATAAATTGCAGACACGTGGTGAATAGAGAAGGCATTTAACACACATACGACCATTTAAAAAGCATACAGAATTGATCAGCCAATAAGTGATAAGGCGAAATTGTGGCTTGACAATAATGAGTAGGTTTACCTGTTCAGAAGCTAGAATAACTCATGTGGGTTTGGCATAGTACCGGCCATTACAAAGTCCACGTGTGGGAAGTAGCACAATAATTTCAAAAAACATTTCGAAAATGACACTGAAAAGTATGTGTATATCGTTAACAATAGGTAGCGAAAAATCATGCGTAAAGAAATAATAAGACTTTATTTATCCTGAAGAACAAAGATACCCCAATAAATAATCCGATTCAGGATTCTTAAAAAGTATACATTTATTATATCAAAGGTGCTAGAGTATTAGCAACAGATTCCCGGTCTTGTCACTCCAGTCCAAATATTATAATTATTCACAAACAGTTTTTTTGGTAAATTGGTGTTGTGAAGAAGCCCTTTTCACTCTCTTCAGCAATGCAGTTCTACTCAAGTTCCAATAATGTTTGCATAATATTCGTTGTATTTAAATGAGCCTAGACGAATATTGAGTTGACTCTGGAGAAAGACGACAGAAAAATTAAGGAACGAAACATGAAATCTGTAAGTAATTTATCATGTTATTGAAAACATAAGAAGAATAAACGGTAATGTGTGCATTACCGAATGAACAAAAATAAATAAATAAACAGTAAGATCTTACGGTAGGATAAGTTTGTACAATAATCATTTAGAATGATTGCAAGGAATAATCGTTAAATATACACTTATATGGGTCATACATGCGTGATGAACATAAAATGAATATGAAAGGTTAATTTTTTTAAGCGTAACACAAGATATTGTGTAGAAGGGAAAGAGAGAAAAAGAAGAGGAGGAACAAAAGGGGAAAAGAATAGCGAATGTTTCAGGAGGAACAGTCATGATAACAACAATAATGATAATAATTGTAATGACAAATATGAATATGTGCGGATCTCGAATATTAGGTGAAAGGATGGAAAACAAAATAAAATAAACGAGCAATATTTCAAAGGTCCTACTCTTTTTTTCGACCAATTACAGAGATATTGGACCTTGTTTGTATCAATCGTTGGTATACACACTAATATCTATTAGGTGGCACAAATCACTTCAAAGAGATAGTCATCAAGTGAACTTCTGGATCGAGCTATTGTTTCAGTGCAACGGAAGTTTTATGGGAATCTGTTTCACACGGCTGAATAGCGAATAACAAAGAAAGTCTAATTTAAGTTTGTTCAGGTTCTCAGAGTTGGTAAAATACTTTCTTTATTACACATGTCGTGGGGTGATATCATAAAGTACAAAGGGATGGATGTCATTTATAAGCTGGTAGATAAAGACAAGGTTTAGTTTAACAAGCTTGATCCAGAAAGGCCCTTACCGGAGCTGTTGACATCTTCGGATTTGAGCTAGGATAAAAGTGGGTTCCGTATGCCAAATGAAGAAAGTTTTAAAGGAAAAAGGTTGTATGAGAAACCGTCAAAGGCCTTATTTAAATCAAAGTACATATTTACCACTTGTTGACCAACAACTTTTCTCCAGGTGATTTGATCACGAAATTTCAAGTGCTATGTGGAGTGTGAGCGTTTGCTCATAAACCCATCTTGGGATAGACTAATCAGGCTAGCCAAAAGTAAAAATGATAATAACTGTTTGTGGATGACTTCTTCCATGGTTCTTGATAGCACAGACGTCACGTTAATAGGCCTATAGTTAGTAATATCACTACGTGACCCTGTTTTGAATCTAGAGGTGTTAAGATATGTTTATCGCGCAGATGGATAGGCTCTATGTTTTGTAGATAAGTTGAACAGTTTTAAGTAGAATAGTGAAAATTCACTGCTGTATTTCGCGAAAGATGCAGGAATCCCATCATTGCCACTGTTATTAAACATTTTCAGGGTATTTATGGCCTGCTTGGCATTGATGGCTGTGAAATCGTCTGTAGACAGATGTTTAGATGTCAATATTGGAAGCCTATTGATGGGCGTTGAGGTTTTTGTGTTGTAGCCTCTTCGATGAATTGCTTACAAATAGTAACAAGGCCGTATAAAATGCTATAGTCAATTATGAAGAATCTGGTTGTGTCAAGATAATCCGATTTCACGCGTGATTTGGAAAGCCGGGGTATTAAAAAGTCTGTGTTTTTACTACCTTAAACTTTATTCTCTATAATCGTGAGATACTACTGTTGAGATGAATCATTTCTGTCAACCAAGTTAGGTATGCTCTGGAGAGCACATACTTCATTATGCTTGTGATAGCGGTGCTTCAATTTTCTCAGCTTTCTCTTACAGGTCTTAAAAGTATTCCGGCCCCTATTAACTTAAAAATCATGTGTTGGATGAATGGAACAGTGTAACCAAGGCAATACGTCAGATTGCTGTAGAAGTAAGAAAACGCAGTGCCGATATCATTTGTTATGAAATAAGATCCTCATGATCAGCATAGAAGAAAGGTTCAATTGCGCTTCTAAGTTTGTTGGTCAAACTGCCTGCTCTGGTACATTGTTCCAGGTTTAGAGTTCAATGGTATGGTGTTTGAAGAATAAATAAAGTTCAATACGACTCCATGATCACCCATAGAAACTTCATGACTGACGTGCCATGAAACAGAATCGATGTTGATTGTAAATATTAACCAAGTATATTGTCCCTCCTAGTCGGCTTTCGGACTTCTTAGATCCATCGACAAAGTTCTGTGGCTACAACAGGCTTGTTATATCTATCTAGTGGCCAAGTCGATATCCATATAATGTTCAGCGGATTTAAACCACCTCCGATTATCTTAAACGTATGTGGTTGGGGGAAAATATGTTAGTTAACAAGTTAGTATCAGTATACATACATCCAATCAGTAGATATTTTGCGGTCCACAATCTACGGTAATCCAAGTGGAGTCATCTATAGCATCAATATATTTGAAACGACCGAACTGCCAGTATTCTGTTTGAACGCAGGACTGAAGAACACAAACCCACTAGAATAGGCCAGACTAAGTTCTTCTGCATAGCTTACAAAGCGTTTTTGAGACACTCGTATTAAATTATATCAAAGCACAAACTCCGTGCTCAATTTAAACGCTTCGTAAGTCATACAGAAGAACGTAGCCTGGCCAATTCTAATGAATTTTGGCTCGTCAGTTCCGCGTTCAAACCGATTACTGGCAGTTCGATCCTTACAGTTCTCAAACGATACAGCCTGTGCTATCCAGTCAGAAGTTTCTCTAACGCAAAGTAGCGTGCTGATAATCAATAAAAATATTCCCAACAAAATGGGATCAAATATCTATCTTCAGAGATTCCAGCAGTTCTCCCAATTAGACAGTCAAATGGTTAACAGTCACACACTGAATCACACCGTGACCTTGAGCTTAGTCAAACACGACCTTACTGCCAATAGTTCGGCAATATGCAATAGAAAATTAGGTAACAAAAGATAAGTCTTTAATCAAAATCACGTAATAAAAGCTCAGACGAAGAAGACTGGAGGACAAAAGGTGTGGTAGAAAGAAGAAACAAATAAATGACTGTACTATCCAACAAAAAGGCTGCGGAGGGATTTTCATTGTTCTCTTTCCGTCGCATTAGTCATTCTCAAACTTACAAGGTTGGATGTTCAAAGGGACATAGAATAATAATAATAATTTATTCTCAAATA